CTGAGTAATCCTTGCTGCCCTGCTGGGCGGTTAGAGGTGGGAACCAGAGAGGTGAGCCGTCTCGGACCTAGCAATAGAAATAAGGTAACTGAATCTGTGTGTTTTATTTTGATCTCTTCTAACTAACTTAATGCCTAGAACCTCATTAATGAAACCATTGCGCAGGCCGCGTGGTAGAGTTTTCTTTCTATAGCTCATGAACCATCTAGTTAATCTGAAATAAAGTCATGGCAGGCTTTAGGTATTTTACAGTACTTGTTTTTCTTTGGAGTTCGATTGAGTCCTTTTTATATCCAAATAAAAGACACATTTTGGTAGCTGCTCAGAGGCCCTTAACTGAGCTATTCACTGATACCAGTTTAAAAACAAAAATTTACACTGCCAGGAAATCTGGCCAAATATTTATTTAACAAAACAATGTTGAAATGAAGCAGATTAGTTGTTATACTTGTTTAAAAATGTTGACTTTAAGTGGTTTTCCTAAACCATTTTCCAAAGTTGAAAACATAATATTAAGTAGACATTTCTCACTTAAAAGTAGATATTGCAAAACAAAAACTTTAGAGAACAATAGCATAAATTCATTTTCTCATTTAAAATTGCAAAGGAATATTTTGGAAAGGGTAAACTACATCCTTAGGTCTCTTTAGTTTTTGAAACAAGGCCTTGCTAAATTGCTGAGACTGGACTTGAACTTGGAATCCTTCTGCCTTAGCCTCCTGTATTGCTGGGATTACAGGCATGTGCCACCATATTCGGCTTACTTTTTGATCATATTAAGTCCACTATGAATCCAGATAGAATCACTAGGGAAACACAAGTCAAGCCACAAGACACCACCTCACACCCATTAGGATGGATACTATCAAAACTAAAAAACAAAGAAAACCAGAAAATAACAAGTTAGGATGTGGGAAAATTGGAAATCCTGTGCACTTTCGGCAGGGATGTGAAATGGTACATCTGCTGTTGAAAACACTACGGTGGTGCCTCAAAAGATTAAAAACAGAATGATCCTGGGGCTGGGGTTGTGGCTCAGTGGTACAGCTCTTGCCTACCATGTGTGAGGCAGTGGGTTCAACTTTAAGCACCACATATAAATAAATAAAATAAAGGTCTATTGACAACTAGAAAAAAATAAGAATGATCCAGCCTTTCACTTTTTTGTATACATCCCAAAGAATTGAAAGTGGGTACTCAAAAGAGATATTTATAAATCCACATCCTTTTATTCACAATAGTGAAAAAGTGGAAGCAGCTGGACAGGGTGGCGCATGCCTATAATCTCAGTAGCTTGGAAGGCTGAGGCAGGATTACAAGTTCAAAGCCAGCCTCAGCAATTTAGCAAGGGCCTAAGCAACTCAGCAAGACCCCTGTTTCTAAATAAAATATTCAAAAGGGCTGGGGATGTGGCTCAGTGGTCAAACACTCCTGGATTCAATCTCTGGTACAATAAGTGGAAGCAACCCAAATGTAAATCAAAGGATGAATGGGTAAAAGAAATGCATACACATGCCATGGAATGTTATTCAGTTTTAAAAAGAAAGGAAATTCTGCAAAATGCTATAGCCTGGAAACTTGAGGATATGACAGTACATATCCTCCTGCCTCAGTCTTCTGAGTAGCTGGGATTACAGGTATATGCCATCTTACTTGGCAAACTCTAGGTATCTTAAGAGACAGAGTAGTCAAATTATAGAGATAAAAAGCAGAATAGTGGTTGCCAGGTGCAGCAGGGAGATGGGATGGGAGTTAATGGGTAGTTTTATAAAATGAAGAGTTACAGAGCTGCATGCWGATGATGGCCACATAGTACTATGAAGGTATTTAATACCAAGGAACTGTATACCTAAAAATGGGTAAGAGGGTAAATTTTTATATGTGTATTTTATCACAACTTATTAAACTTCAAGTAAAAAACTATGAGGACAATAAAAAATCAATGGTTGCCAGGGATTAAAGGAAAAGGGGATAAATAAACAGAACAGATTCTTAGGGTACTAAACTATTCTGTATAATGTACCTAATGKTGGACAGATGACTTCAAACATTTATTTAAACCCACAGAATGTAAACCAGGAGGGAACTCTAGGGTAAACCTTAATTGTGGGTGATAAAACGTTAATGTAGATGTGTTACAAATGTACCACTCCAGTGCAGAATGTCGATAATGTGGAAGGCTGTGCACGTGTTGGGAAGGGGTGTTATGGGAATTCCCTGTACTTGCTGTTCAATTTTGCTGTGAACATAAAACTGCTCTAAATAAGTATTTAAAGAAAGAAAGAAAAAACTTTCAAAAGAAAGAATTAAGGCAAATATGGCATGCTGGTTTTTATTCTGAATGTTCTGGCTAGATACTCAATTTCTGTCCTATAAATTTTCTTAGAACCACATGGGAACTCATTTGTGCAAATCCCCTCTTTTTTTCCAGTTTTAAAGTAGTACCTGACATCGAATAATGGAAGCGATTAAGTCCTTCATCAAGAATCAGACAATAATTCAGAAAGTCTCATGCGATTTTTATTCTCATAAAGATAAATCCAAATTATTCTAATTCTAGCAAGTCAAAATAAAAGCTTCATTTTTGAAATCTGAAAGTCAAAGTCCAAATAAGAGTTAAAAATAAAGATTTCCAGGGCTGGGGATGTGGCTCAAGCGGGAACGYGATTGCCTGGCATGCGTGGGGTGCTGGGTTCAATCCTTAGCACCACATACAAAGATGTCATATCCGCCGAAAACTAAAAAATAAATATTAAAAAAATTCTCTCTTAAAAAAAAAAAGAATTTGTGGATGTACTTTCACACCACTCCTAATCTTATGGGCTGACTTGTCTTTAAAAAAAAAACAAAACAAAACTCTCTCTCCTCTCTAAAAAAAAATAAATAAAAAAAGATTTCCATTTTGACTTAGTTGAAGACATAGAAACTCTGCTCAAGCAGATGATTTTTTTTTTTCTCTGTAAAATTATGAGTCAGTTGCTAAAGCTATTACTCAGAATAAGATAGGATCTACTGTGGTTAAAAACAAAGGCACCCAAATCTCTGGCTTAACATATTGAAAGTTTATTATTTTATTTTTGGTACTGAGGATTGATACCAGGGTGCTTTACTACTGAGCTACATCCTCAGGTCTCCTTAGTTGTTTTATTTTTTAGTTGTGGTTGGACACAATACCTTTTATTTATTTATTTTTATTTTATTTTTATGTGGTGCTAAGGATTGAACCCAGGGCCCTGCACTTGCTAGGTGAGCACTCTACCACTGAGCCACAACCCCAGCCCAGGTCTCTTTAGTTTTTTGAAACAAGGTCTTGCTAAGTTGCTGAGGCTGGACTTGAACTTGGATCTTTCTRCCTTAATCTCCTGAGTCGCTGGGATTACAGGCATGCGCCACCATACTCAGCTTACTTTTTGATCAATTTTTAAAAAAATATTTACGTTTTAGTTTTAGGTGGACACAATATCTTTGTTTTTATGCGGTGCTGAGAATCAAACCCAGTGCCTCACACATGCTAGGCGAGTGCGCTACCAGTTAAGCCACATCCCCAGCCCACTTYTGATCATATTAAGTGCACTGTGGATCCAGTTGACTGACCTTCATGTGGCACTGAGCAATCAAGGCCACTTTGATCTTGTGGCTTCACTATGGCAAATCTATGATGCCATGGTAGAGAAAACAGGCTGTGACTGGTCTGGGAGTGACATACACTACTTACTACTCCCACTTAACTGGTCAAAACCAAGAAGCAGGCTGGGAAGTATAGTTTCCTCTATGCTACAAAGGATTAGAACAGATATTGGTAAATACAGTATCACCATAATTCTTGTATCTGTCTGAAATCCAGGCTGAATGCACAATGTTAACTCTTAACTATTTTCCTTAAGAACTGAAATAAAACCATATCAGATGCTCTAGAAATTTTGGAACGGGTTTTAGAGAATACAGTAAGAAAAGTTAACATGCTATTCACAGTAGTTATTCTAAAAATCCCATTTTCAGTGAGGCTGACAAGTGACAGATGAGTAATACTGGTAGCACTAATTCTTAGCTGCAGGTAGGTTAAAATGAAAATAAAACTTCTGATTAACAGGGTGGTATGTAGGTGCAGTCAATTCTGTCAAAAAATTGAGATTCAGGCCTTYTCAATGTTCTTAGAACTTACTGAGCCCCCTAGAATGCTGTGTGTGTCGAGACAACTTCATCCTGGAAAAGGGTTAACAAAAGGAATAGCTGATTTTTTCACCCACTAATAAAAATAATTTAAGAAAGAAAAACTGTGAGCCAGAACTAGAAAAATTTTCTCACATTCTCACTTTTTCCACTCCCACCCCACCAAAGCTGAATGAATCCATCTCCTGAATAAGGTTAAAACCAATTATTTAGGTGTAAACAAATGCTTAGGTATTGTGATTTTCAGTGTAATTTAAAATGAGTTCAAATGATAACTAACCACATCTACTAGGAACCCTCTATAATTTTTTCTTTTTTGAGATGGGGGGGTGGTCCTCACTTACTACATTGCCCAAGTTAGTCTCAAACTCAAGATCCTCCTCCTGCCTTAGCCTCCCAGGTAGCTGGGATTACAGACAAGAGCCAGTGTGTTCAGCTTTAGCCTATTTTGGGGGAGGAGGGTACTGGGGAGTGAACCCATGGGGTACTCTACCACTGAGCTACATTGCTAGTCCTTTTCATTTGGAGACAGGGTCTTGCTAAATTGTTCATATTGGCCTTGAAACTTATGATTCTCCTGCTTCAGCCTCCTAAGGAGCTGGGTGTCACTGCACTAGGCTAATCTGTATCATTTGCAACATTATCCCTAGGGCTGGGGTGTAGCTCAGTGGTATAGCACTAAAGCCCTGGGCTCAATCCTCAGCTCACACACAGAAAAAAGAAAAAAATAATCTAGCCCCAAACAGCAAAACCAGTTCCTATAAGAGCAATTAAAATGTGTCAGGTGTACACTCAGCTACATCATGATTCTTTTATTTTTTAAAAAAGCAATATAATAATATGCAGCAAGAATAATTTAACAGTTTTGAGAACATTCACTACCCAAATAAAGAAAATAAATGAGACAAGAAAATGTATAATACAACAAAACCTGTGCTAAAGTTAAGGTTTATCTGCAAAATTAACAAACAAACAAACATAAAAAGATAAGGACAATTCATTTTTAATCAGTCAAAAATGAAAAGGTTTCTGGACAATGTTAAATTCCACTCACCATAATGCTATAGTTTTACATTAAATATAATTACTATCTATACATATGCAAAAATATAAAGTTCTATTTCATACAACAAAACCCTTTATAGAAACCATTTTAAAATTCAGCAGAACTTCTCAACATTAACATGTGAGGTTTAAGTCCTTCTAAAGGTTCCTTTAAAGGTTGTAAAACAAAACACTAAACCTAAAAACATTGTCCTTTCTCTTAGTTCCCAAATTAAGTCTAATTAGAACAAAACAAAAATTGATACCTTAGTCATATACTACTTAAATATTAACATTGTTCAATCATGTCTAAAATCCTCCATTTTTTTCAAGTATGGAAACAGAACTCAAATATCCACAATACAGTACTAAACAGATGGAATATTTAGAAAAAGACTTTGTGGTCATATGGCACGGTATTAATGTTTAATTTCAATATGTTTTGAAATCAATATCAAGTTTTTGTTTTTTCTTCTAAATGACCAAAATTATAAACTACATTAGATAATTCTGACTGTGGTAAGACTTAAAAGTGTAAAATACAACATCGATATTTTATCACAAAAGTAAAGCTGGTAACAGTTTATAAAAGGACCCAATAGTCTACTTGGACACACTCAGGATTAAAGCTCGTCATGATAGAAATAGTCATCATGGAGCTGTCTGCCATAATCTGTGGCTTCACTGGTAAGAAACAAGTCCTGGTTTTCCAGAATTTCTTCTTTAGAGAGTTTTTTGTCACCATTCAAATCCATTTCATCAATTAAATGAAGAGCCTTTAAAATAAAGCAAAACAGAAAGGTATCAAATGTTATTTTATCAAGATGTTCACATTTTAGTGTAATGTTCTGTCAAACCCATTTGGTTGTTTGACTCATTAATGTATGTAAAATATTTCATACTGTGTCTATCGGCTGTGTCTCTTATTATCTCCTTTTAAATTTCTGCTGGGTTCTTCTTCCTCTCTACCAAAATCCAACCCAGGATCCAAACCAGGATATCACAATGTTAAGCAAAATTACTATAATCCACTTTTTGAGCCTCTACAGTTAAATATGAACTATTATTCTATTTACTATATGCTCAGAATAATACATGATACCACCTTCCTTTTCTCCTTGACCATCTAAAACAGTTTGATGATTTAATTCAAAGAACAGCAATGAGCAGGGCATGGTGGCACATGCCTGTAGTACCAGCTGCTTAATCAGGTAGGTGAGTAAAGCAGAGGGAGCGAAAGTCAAGGTTAGCTTTGGCAATCTAACAAGACACTGTCTTAAAAAGAAGAAAAACAACAAAACACAGCAATGAATTGATCCTAAATAATCCCATTACTACTTCTTTTTTTTTGGCTTTGATTTTTAACTACCTATCAATAGAACCAACTTTTATTTTTTTKGGGGGGTGTCATTCTATGATACTTACCTCCTCCTGCGCAATGCCCTGATTATTGGGTACTACCCAAGATAACAGCTCTTGGGGATCAAGCCTGCCATCATTATCCTTGTCATAATCATTCACGAATCTGTCTTTCTCAACAAGTATCCATTCTGGATCTTCATTTGCAGCTTAATATAAAAAAACAGAAATATACATACACAAGAATATCACATGTATCCAATAAGAAGTTTGGTATATCCCTAGAATAAAGGAAGTGAATTTAAAGTTTACTACATAAAGGAAGCCAAATGAAACAGAAGTACTTAGCTGAAAAGTCCTAAAATAAGTACAAATACATGGTAATTTTCAAAAGTGACGCATAAACCTAAACAACTCAGAGTTTTTTAAATGTTGCGTATTAATACTAGTTTACTATTGCTACTTGTTCTGATGTCTTGTTTTCTCAAATATGAGTTGGGTAATAATTTGATGTACACTGTGTGACTATATAGTTTCCTCTGTTCTTACAAAGTACTCCCCCCTGTATTTTTAAAGTGACATTGAAAATAAGTGCACTGTTGACCAATTTTAAAACTGCACTGTTTGATTTTTTTTTTTTAGTTATACTTTGGCACAATATCTTTATTTTATTTGTTTATTTTTATGTGGTGCTGAGGATTGAACCCAGAGCCTTGCTAGTGCTAGGTGAGCACTCTACTGCTGAGCCACAATCCCAGCACACTATTTGATATTTTCAAGTAACAATTCTGAAGACAGTAACTCAGAGAAAGGAAAATTCCTCTAATTTCATATGCTGAGTAAATCACTTTTTACAGTCTCAGAATTTAGACTATTTTATGTTTCTAAGATCTACATGTAATCATACACAATTTTCTTTAAAAAACAAAACTATGTCAACCTTTMCTTCCTTCCTTTTTGGATTGACAATGGTATTCTACTTATTGGAAAAGGAAGAAAAATGTTTCAATCTAGACATAAAGGTAAAAATGAGCAAGACAGCATTTCAGTTAAGCTATAAAATCCCTTTGTTGAACTTGTATTATAGTTAACTTAGCAAGAAGTAGAAATCAAGCATAGCTCCTCTTCTTACATTTTCTCTGTCAAAGAAAGCTCTCAGTGATAAAAGATCTTCCAATTTCTTGTTTAATTCCATTTTTTCCCCTCTCTTTTCACACTCCCCAGGTGACTTACTTGGATCCCGCCTGTAATCACCAAGAAATTCTTCTAAACTAACATATCCATCACCATTTTTGTCATGTTCTTCTAAAGCTTCTTGAATGACGAATTCCTATTGCATGTTCATTAAAAGAAAAAAAAAAGGCTTAAGTCAATAATTTTCGATCCCACAACCATCTCAGTCAATCTTAATATAGAATTTTAGGAATCATCATTTTGATTATCTATACTTTCACTAAACATTTCTAAACTCTAGAATCTAGGAGAATAAAACCTCAAGTACTAAGTAATTCTAAATTCAACATGTGTAAGCTTGTGAAACTATGAAGAACTTCACTTTTTATTCTCCTAAACCACTTCAGCACTAAATATAGGTTCCCATTTTCTGCATRTTCCCCTCCCTCTCAAGCATGCCATCTCTCACTGTCGTTTTCCTTAACCATCAGCCCTCCAATCCATTCATAGCCCTGAAAGAACCCTACCTTAGATCTCGTATATAACTGTTCTTCCTCCAGATCTGAAAGGTGCCAGCCCCTCACAAAACCTCAATACTTGGCTTGCTCTTCTCTCAAACCCACTCCAAACTGCCCATAAATCTGCCCCCCGTTCTTATCAAAGCTTCATACTTAACAATCAATCCTCCCTGACCCAAATGGCAGATCCTTTCTAGTTTAATGACCTGATCAATGGCCAGCTGATTCAGTACCTCCCTCATTACCTTCCTACCCCTTTATGTCCTTTTCTTATGGTGCCAATCCCTACCCTGAACATTACGACCACATCACTTCTCCTTTCTTCCGCAGTCATAAAATCTAAAAAGACATAGAACTATAAACTTAGTCCTTTTAAGCTGATTTCTGCCATTTCAGTGAGTTCTCCCTGCAGCTTAGAAATCGACTTCTAAGTTTTCTTAATATTCCCTACTGCAGGGGCTGGGGTTGTATGTAGCTCAGTGGTAGAGTGCTTGCCTGGCACAAGTGAGGAACTGGGTTTGATCCTCAGCACCACATATTGTGTCCACCTAACTAAAACAAACAAACAAACAATTCCCTATAGCAGTGTTTTCAAATTTCTACCTCCACTTTCTCTGAGCTTTGCTATAATCCTTCCAAAAATTCTGTTGGCAAAGATCCTAGTTTTCCAACCATGATACAAGTCTTCTGAAAATGATTCATATAAACCAGCATGTATCCTCACCTTTAACTCCCTCTATTCTTATGCCTTATCCTCTCATTTTTTTTTCTTTCATCTCAGGAGTTGAAGCTCTTGCTAGGGCAAAGCCCTCAGCTGTTTCTTAGATGCCATATATTCCCATTTCCTAAGGGCTTTCTTTCAATCTCAATTCCTTCTTCTATGTCTTTTGTGACATTCAAATCCCCAGGACTTTGCTGCACTCTTTCATTACCATCCTGGTTCTTTTTTCCCTGCCTAGACTCTCATGGGTTATATCTACTATTCTCATTTCCTCCCTACCTGCTTCCTCCCTAATATCTCTCATCTGGATTCTAGCATCACTACTGTAATGAAATATATTCTCAAAAGTCTCCAGGGGCTTAAACTACAAGCTGTCTTCCCCACTCCCTTTGGTACTGGAGATCAAACCCAGGGCTTTCCATGTGCTAAGCAAGTGTTCTACCACTGAGATACATCCCTAGCCCCAAGCTGTCTTTTTTAAAATCAAATTTTACAGATTTTATGTAGAGAAATCAGGGATTTTAACCTTTATCATCAAAGATTACCTTTGTCACTATTATAAAAGCTCAATACTTCAGGGTCATCTGACTCTGAATATCTATTAAAGCAACATTCCTGTTTGTGCTTTCTTCAAAAAATGATATAATCTACTTCATCCCATTGCCATTTGACATTCCAGGGCCATATCACTTAATATCCATTGTTTCATTGCTTTCACTGGTCATTCCCCTCTTCAGTCAACTGTTCCTTATTCTCCAGAGAATCAAGAATCAGCATCCTCTGCCTAAAATTATAGGATTCAATTAGCTTGCCTAGATTTAATCTTGGCACTGAAATTATACCCAGCACTGTTCTTAAACTAGGTCATCTATTTTGTGCCAAGTAAGAAACCAGAAGCTTCACAATGTCAAGAAGTGGTACTAATAGCAGTATCTTGCCATAGAGTTTTTGGGAAAAAGTATATCTGCTGCATTGTTATTCAAGGCCATGATCAATTAAACAAAAGGCTACCATCTTCCTTCCCTCAAATATCCAGGGAATCAAGTTACAGAGCTGGAGGCTGATGTCATGCAACAGAACTCAATATAAATGTTCTCTTTTTAAAAGTTATTTGGCACATTACTCTTAACTCCCCAATATGATGATCCCTACTCTCACAGCTTGTTAACACAACTCAATCAACAACTGTTGGGTTAAAAGCTAAAATTTGACAGTTTTGAAGACCTGGTGGTGGCCACCCCCCTTTTCTTTTTTATCTCCACAGTGCTAGGGATTGAACCCTCAGACTTGTGCATGGCAGGCAAGTGCTCTACCACTGAACTACACCCTCAGCCCAGTACTTTTTTTTTTTTTTTTTTAAAGGTGCTAAAGGAATGAGACGACTCATTACACCTGAAGTTGCAAAAACGTTAATAGTTACTAGGAGCTGCATCCCCCGCCTGCTATGAAAAGGGATCTAAATGTGGATAAGTTGTTACAGACCAAAAGCTTCCACAAATGAGGCTGTAAACTACATAAAAGTTCTGGTGTTACTAACAGAGAAGTCTGAAGCTATAGAAGGATAAGGAAAGGCTTGATGGTAACATGGTTAGGACAGGGAAAATAGCCAGAGGAAGATGCTGCTTATAATACAGTGTGAAGATTCAAAAAAGCAAAAAAATAAAAACTCAATCCTTAGCCTGCTCCTGCCCCATAAGCAACCTGACACCACCAGGAATCCTCCTGACCTATAAGATTAGAATAATTTTAGTCACTCAATAATTCTCTTAAAATGTTTCTTCCTTAGGCTAAATTATATTGTTATATCGTATATGGGTACAAATATGTAACAAAAAATCTCACCATATGTACAACTATAATGCATCAATAAAATATAAAAATATATGGAAAAWTTTTTTTTTCTTCCTTACCGTCATATAATCAACTTCCTCAGGATGTTCAAAAGCAATAAATTCTTCAAGACTCAAACCAGGACCTGAATCTTGGTTAGCTCTTTCAAATCGCTTCTTGTCCTTTAAATGAAGCTTTGAGAATTAAAAAATTTTGAACATATTTAAACATCTCATTATTATCATAACATCATTAAAAATACTTTGAAAAATACAAACTGTGAAATCAAAGCACATTCTCAAACATCATCTCTTTCATCTTTACATCATTCCACTGAACGTATGTTGGCAAATAATACCAAACATTAGAGGCAACATAGAAACAAGCTCCATAGTCAGACCTAGACTGAAATTCCAGCAATGTCACTTACTAGTTGTGGTACTAGTATAAATTGCTTAACCCCTCAAGCTTTCTTATCTATAAAACTGGGGTAAAAATCTCTACTAAGCAATTAGCATGAGCATCCCTTTCATGCAATCAATATATCTGAAGTATTAAGAATTTCATAATTGTTATTATGCTACTATTATTGATAGAAAAACTGAGATTAAATGATTTGATGAAAGTCAGAAACACAGCTAAAATGTACTGACCTTGAATCTTCCTTGCTCTTTCCATACTACTATCACCTTTAATAATTAGTGTTAATATTTTTTTGAATATTCCCAAAGCAACAAATTTATATCATGTGTTAAATATTGGTAGAACTGGGATTGTGACTCAGTGGTAGAGTGTTCGCCTAGCACTTGCAAGGCACTGGGTTCAATCCTCAGCACTACATATAAATAAATAAAATAAAGGTCCATTGACAATTAGAAAAGTATTTTAAAAAAATATATTGGTAGGGCTTTTAAAAATTGTTTTAGGTTTGCTAAATGATTTTTCAAAAATATGTAAATATTTTAGAAAAGTATTCCTCTTTTGTTGAGACTCTCATATGATTAGTATTGGTAACTAATATTTCAAATATTTTAAAGGCTCTTTATAATGATAACTCTGTATATTCAGAAACAAGTACACTAAAAGCTTAAATGGGTCTTATCTTGAGTTCAAATAAACACATCTCCTTTTCTATTTTCTCTCTCATCTTTTTTTTCCCTCCTTTTAAAGTATACTTGAGTAGTAAAAATGATTAGGGATAAGGCTGATTTTGATAAATGTTTCAAAGGTAATTCTGTAACCAAGAGTCTTGGAAGTCAAAGGTGCTAGCTATATTGTTAATCCTGCCTGATTTCTACTTTGAGAATTTCTGGGAATAGCTTTCCTTTCTAATAATAATAATAATAAAAATAAAATAATATTAATAATAGTAAAAGGTGTGTATCAAACTATGTATTTTAAAAAAGTTTCACAATTTTTTAATATTTATTTTTTTGTAGTTGTAGTTGGACAAAATAACTTTATTTTATTTATTTATATGTGGTGCTGAGGATCAAAACCAGAGCCTTGCACGTGTGAGGCGAGCCATCTACCACTGAGCCATAACCCTAGCCCCAAGTTTCACAATTTTAGAAGCATTTATGTATTTTACTGTTGAAAAAAAAAATGTTCTGTTTAATTTTATAGAATAATAGGTTAGGAAAGGTAGCATTTACCTAAATGCTAGTTCTTTTACAGTTACTAATCATCCAGTGGAGAGGTTCAACTTTTCCCCTAAAGAATCTGCCTTTTAAATATCTAGACTTCACAAGTCAGTTACACTCACCCAACTATCACAGAAAAGAAAAAATAATGTTTCCAAATAGCTGCTTTTAAGCAAATGTTTCATAATTTTAAATAACTACATCAAACAATTTGTATTTTGTGTTCAGGTTTAATATGGGGAAAAGTAGACAAACAAGAACTTGAGGTCTTTGTGGAGTCAATCAAATTCTTTTTTGAATAAGTCACTATTCAAAATACCAACTGCTTAGATTTCCTTATGAAAGGATCCTTCAATTTGGAGCAAAAAAGGTCCATGTTTCAGCAGAGTKAGCTAAATTTGGCCAAATTTGCCTATGGAAAGAAAGGATCTCTTTAAACAAGTTGAGATTTCTTTAAAAAAAAAAGAAAAGAAAAAGAACGATTTTTCTGGTTCACATTTTATGGCCATTTGAAAGCACCTCATAKCAAATTAAAAGAAATCAATATAGAAAAAGAATGTTTTTTTCAAAGGGCAAAATTTTAAAAAAATAGCCAGAAAGATGGTCAGTTTCAGAAAACCTCAACACTTTTCCCCTTCTGTATTAAAAAGCTAGTAAAGGATAAAAATGCTATCTATTGTAGTATAAAGAAACTACCATAATAATTTATTTTTACAGTGCAATGAAAATTTGTGAGGACAAACTGCCACCTTTTGGTAGACTAATGGTTTTACATGAGGAAATATATAATCTGGAATCTTAGAACAAAACTTTAGGTCTTAAAAATTCTGATCAGCCATATGAAGGCTATCTCTTACATAGTAAAATATTACTTACACAATGCATATTCAGCAACTGACTTTAGAAGCTGGAATAACTGAACTTTTGCCAGGAGTTCTCCAAACTTTACTTCTCCTGCCTAAAAATGCATTATTTATAATTGTTCATCATATAAATATATACTTTTTCAGGTATTTGACAGCCTGAAAGGGTCACTACTCCAAGTTGCCTATTCTCTCTATATGTAAATTTAATAAAAATAAAATTCAGGTACCAAGTTGATTTTGAATTGAATCCTTAGGCATTCTATCACTGAGTGCAGCCCTTTTTATTTTTTCAGACAGGGTCTCACTAAGTTGCCCAGGGCTGGCCTTGAACCTGTGATCCTCTTGCCTCAGACTCCTGAGTCATTGAGATTACAGGCATGTGCCACCATGCCCAGAGATGTTTAGTTTTTCAATAGAATACCATATAGAAAATTTTATTTCATTCAGATATCCAGTTACTTTTTATGATTATTTTATTTATGGCATAATATTTGGTTTATAACTTTGGATGAGACTGATTCCTCTTTTATCCCTTATTTTTTATTTTGAATAATGCCCATTATGTCTGGGTTTATTTTTACATCCCACATGAATTTTTAGGAGGTTAGGTATTATCTATCAAATTCTTTAAAAAGTATGATTAGAACTTCATGAAGATAGAGATATATTCCAGGGCAGCCAAATAGGATTCTCTCAGAAAAGTATTCATTTTAGGAATGCAGTATTTCCCTTAGGCTATTAAGATCCTTCTAATTTTCTAACTCCTTCTTAAAAGGTAGACTTAAATCAATGTGTACTGGGTACACATTGTGGAATATAGTTTCAGAGCTAGACATCTTTTTAAAAATTGGTTCTTGGGCTGGGGATGTGGCTCAAGCGGTAGCGCGCTCGCCTGGCATGCGTGTGGCCCGGGTTCGATCCTCAGCACCACATACCAACAAAGATGTTGTGTCCGCCGAGAACTAAAAAATAAATATTAAAAATT